ATGTCTTTAAAAGAACTACGTTGGTCGGTACCAGGCAAAACTAAATCGAATAAACATTACAAGCCTTGCAAGGCTGAATTGAACTGAGACTACCTACACACGTCTGACGAGATTATTACTCGCGTTAATTATGTTAAAAATGTTTAAATTTGTTGACAGAAACGAAAAGGCGCGATCATAGAAAGCGCGCTGCTGCTGCTTCCAGAAGTGTGCCACATTTTCCCTAAATGGCAAACCAGAAATCAACATCCCGTTCCGTTAATGCAATCATTCACCCGCTATTATTATTGTTTATCCATTTAGTCGGAAGCCACATACGCTTTCAATTACAGTTGTCGCGCTTTTGAAGCGAAAGTTAAATATTTGGTTTTACTTTGGAAAAATTAATGTTTCCGTGTAACCGAATAACGTGCTTGTTTACCGTGAAGATAACGTGCATACTAATGCTAGCTGGCCATGAAGAAACAATTTAACAAATACAACACAGACAAATTATCGACAGCTTGATTAGAGGTTGCGACACGACAATCAGTGCTCTTGTGTCACATCCATTATGAATAATATTGAACAAATTAAAATGAAAGATTTCTGATTTGTGGACGTCGTCTTCATCGGCGATAATTTATGGAAGAAGAATTAGTTTAGGACCAGCACTGACGAAAAAAGTTGACAATATGAGCCCAAGTGTTCCGATTTTGCGATTTCTATAGGTATATCACAAATTCTAAACTTATAAGGTCCTACGCTATTTCACAAATAAAAATGACATTGAATATTGGAACAATGGAAACTGAAATTATACTTACATCACTTCAACGTCACAAATGCATGTTTTCTCGAAATGGCCTGCACACAAAATAAACGCAAACCCTTGCCAAAATCGCTCTTTCACTTATATCTCTCAAAATCTCATTAAAACTCCATAGAAAAGGGTAGTCATCCATTTCGTTCCTTGAAAACCCCTTTAAGCTATTTAAATGGCATGATAGATCGTACGGTCATTTGAAATCTGATTCGATTGGCAGGAAGAATATTGTGATCCCTCACTTAAAGCTCATTGTAAATAGTCAGATCTCTTGTTAATTTTCATTGGCTTCATCAGAAAATTTGTGACTATATGAAAAATGCATATCGTTTATTTCTGGTTGTACTTGTATGAGATTCTCGAATTGCACCATTTATTTTATTTATTTTTGCATATCTTCCATATTTTATATTCTTTGCATTTACACTTAAACTTGTAAATGTTGCATATTTTAAGATGTATTTAAATTTTTGCTAGTTTTAATCGATTTTGATTTGAATTTTTAATACATTTTTGCGGATTTTCGTAACGGACGTGATATGAAACATAACATATGTACTGCAATAGCAGGAAGGAAGATTTATTGATTTAATTGATGTTTAATTTCTTCATTTCCAAACTACCTTCTCTTTCTCTACGGTGTCAATGCGTGATATTGTGGAAAATTTGGAAATTTCTCGCAATATTTTGTCGGCCCTTTTTAATGCGCCTATACTTCTGTTGATGTAGAGAGAAGTTTTTCTGCTTAGTGATTATAAATTAAGTCGTAGCGACAGGAGGCAATCATTTCTTGCATAACATTTAGAGAAAGATCTTATTGCTAGTGATACTTGACAATATACCTGGTCCCACCGCCTCTCTTTATCGTAATTCCTTTTTTCTTGGAAATTATGCAAGATAATATACAATTTTGCATATACATCAAACTGGTTGCATATTTTGCAGTAATTTTCTGCATATTTATACGCATATTTTATCATTTTTTTTTGTTCATATAATTCACAGCTCCAATTATCAGAAATGCTTGAAACCTGTATGCACTGTAGGAAGGGAGAGGGAGGGGTTTAACTACTATTTTCAAGGGAGGGTATGGCGGGAAATGATTGGAACACGATTTTTGACTTCGTAACTTCGTTTGGACTATTTAGGAGATGAACCTATCAAAAATCCCCATCGGTAGCCCTTGAGCCAGGGGGAGAGGTTGGGTTTGAAGTACCCATTTTTAGATTTTTCGCTTATATCTCGGAAACTAGCGACATGACACAAAATGATACAAAAAAGAAAGCTTCAAGTTTTATTCTATCAAGTTTTCAATATCTTGTATAGTTTTCGAGATATCCGCTCTTGAAAAAAAAATCATTTTTGCAATTCAACAATGCACCAAAAAATAAATGCTTGGTGCCAGTGGGATGTTTTGATGCCGCATTCAACGATGTGTGAGAAAGTGACTGGATCGAGTCCTGAGGTCTCTAAAGTGGGTGAAAAAGAGATAGTTTTCCTTAAAAAAACCATCGCGGCTTTCAACAAAAACATCGGTGCTGCGATCTGCATATGAAGTTCAATTTTAAGAAGAATTGTTTCATTTGTGGAGTGTACATTCAACTGAGAATAGTCAAAACAAAAGAAGGAAGGTACATCCAGTCCTCACTCATGATTTCCGTAAGGTATGTATGCCTGAAGCCACTGTAAGGAATGATATTTGGAGTGTTTGCCGGTGATTTTAACCTAGTTGCAGAAGAGGGAGGGACTAAAAATCTCGATGCAATTACTGGGGAGAAATCTGTATGGAAAACTATAAAAGCTTATTAACTTTAAGTATGTGTCTCCTTTGATAGTTTCTGTATTATGGATACAGACAAATAAATCCTACGCGATGCTGGTATGAAGAAATGAAGAAAAAAATACAGTACAGGGACTAAATACAAAAATCCGCCCAAATCATTAGGCATGATATTTAGAGGGAATACCTCTTCTTGACTTCTTTAAAAATACAGAATTCCAGAATCCTTACTCACTTTTGTAGAAAGTTTGATGGTCGTCCATGCCATAACCTCAGTACTTTTACTTCTTCAATATTGAGTGGCCTTTCTGTTTTCCTCCAAAGGAAATGCGGCTCTATACGATTACATGCACAAATGTTGGGAATGCCCGCTCTTCTAAATGCTCAACCAAGTGTCAAACCGAATTCATTAGTACGAACCCCGGAAAACATTGAAACAGTGCGTCAAACACTCAAACAGTTGAAGCGAGCCCTCGTCGTTCGGCTGTGTGACATGCTCGTGCTCTTCGCATGTCGCACCGATCAGTTCCAGATTTTACATTTGGACCTGCATTTTCATCCGTATAAGCTGATATTTGTCCAACAATTGCAGCAAAACGACTACGGAAGACGATTCAGAGTTGCAGAAACAACGTTGGAAAACATGACTGATGATATTGTTTTGATTATGAGTGACGAAGCCCATTTTCATTTGTCAGGAGTGGTAAACAAGCAGAACTTTAGGTATTGGGCTTTTGAAAATCCACCTCAACTCCATGAAAAACCTCTACACAGCGAAAAATTGACTGTTTGGTGTGGCATTAGTCGAAACTTCATTATTGGCCCTTACTTTTTTCGAGAAAACGTTTGAACCGTCACTGTCAATACAGATCGTTACCTAACGATGCTGCGTGAGTTTTTTCTGCCACAATTGAGAAGACGACGTATCAACCTCAACACAGTATGGTTTCAACAAGATGGGGCGACAAGCCATACATCGAGAGCAGCTATAGAATTTCTGAGGCAGACCTTCCCTGAGCGCCTCATTTCGTTGCGTGGAGATGTGGAGTTGCCTCCTTGGTCATCGGACCTGTCACCTTGTGACTATTTTTTACGGGGCTACCTAACGTGTATACATAAACAAACCACATACACTTGAAGCCCTGAGTGAAACAATAACACAAGAAATTCTAACGGTACCACGTTTAATGCTTCAGAGGAGTATGGACAACTTCTCACAACGTTTACAGGAGTGTCGAGTGACAAAAACGGACAGCATTTAACAGATGTTATTTTTCGTACGTAATCAATGTTTTAGTTTTTTCCTCTTTAATTTTTATAATGGCAACATCTAAGGTACCTACACATTAAAAAAAAAAAATTTTGAGTTTCGTTTAAAAATGAGTGTGTAACTGTTATTTCAAATCATCCATACCTCCCTGCCCAACCCTGTACAAGACACGATATTATAGTATAGACAACGACTAACAAACACAGACGGACGGACGGATAGAAAGTCCAAATGACCAAAATTGAATCCCTTGACCACAGTCTACCTATTACTGAAAACAGAATTGGAAAATTCGAAATCATTCGCGAGTTATCATGTACACAGACGGAAGGACGGATGGACAGAGTGTCCAAAATCATGAACGAGCTGGGCAGATCGTTAATAAGGAGCCATCAACGACGATTAAATTTATTCGTGCCACACTTTCGTGGCACCAAGGAACTAGAAACAACCGTCGGTCACTGTTGAAAGAATAAAAACAAAAATTTATGGCACATTAAATAAACGGTAATACAATACACTTGTAATAGAGAAAATAGCTGGTAAATGATGATTAGAAACAGTAATTTCGTCCAATCGTAATTTATGGCGTGCGTCACTCCCAGCGATTAAAAAATTAGACACGGCTAAACATAATCTTTAATTCGAGCACGATTTATTGGCCGCCCGGAAGCTAATTTTAAAGCCTGAAATGAAACAGAGTTACGCACTCTTCTTTCAAACTGTCGCGCTATGGGCGTTCAGAGATGTCATTGAGCATTAATTATAATCGAAATCGGATGGCATAAACGAAGTGCAAATATTACAAAATTTGGTCAATGGGTTATAGCACAATATCGTTTACGCAGATGAAAATAGAAGTTTATTTCAGTTTTTAAAGTACAGGTGTTTTGACATCATAACTATATAAAACCTCGTATTATTACGCGTGTGGGAGACTTTTGATATAATCACATCCCACACAGGCTCTCCACGAATTTTTTAAATAATATGTAATTATGCCAACACAATCTGCCAGAAGAATCCTACACTCTAGCACGATATAGTTACATGTACAAATCTTGGATTAGCAATTGCTAAAGATCTTAATTATTTGATTGATGATTGCAACTGATGACGTTGAAACTACTTTTTTTTTTACTTACCAGCTCTGAAGATTTGACCGCACCCATCGCATCGGGAAGCGAATTGCTCATCGTAACACCGCCCACAGTAAATTCGTTCACCTTTTGATCCAAATTGCTTATCGACTAGGGAATCTCCGCAAGTTGCACATAGGAAGCAAGCTTCGTGCCAATGTTTGTCTTTGTACGACAAATCCTAAAACAAAAATGATTTTGATACACGTGACAATCATCGTCTACACTCAAATATCAAATAGTGCTCCTCAAAAGTAATCTGGTATCAAAGCGGCATTTAAAAACTTATTTTTGCTTTTAAGACGAAAACAAGTTAGGAATTTTGTAAACGCGCAAAAGCACCTCACGATTTTTTTCAAAAATAATTAGTAGTCGAACTATACAGTGCGTTCGAGATAAGAAGCTCACCTCAATATTTCGTTTCTTTGGCGAGATACGAGACATTTGTCAAATATAATTATATACCCGATCGCATATTGAAACTTTCAGCATCACTTCCGGCTGCACAACAAAATAAAATATGCATATGGTTGATACACAAAAAAGGAGAAATTCATGATTCAATATTTAGAAAACTTATTAAATCTAGCATGTCGTGTACCATATTACACAGAAAAGACGTACATCAACCTGATCCATGTTTCGATTTGAAGATTTACTTTTGCGCGATACGATCTCCGCGCATCCTGACAGCACACGGCATGCTAGATTTCATTACTTTTCTAAATATTGAATCACATTTCTCGATTTATTTGTATATCAACCATTTATGCATATTTTATGTGATCGTACAGGAAATTGATTGCTCTTTTCAAATATGGTAAAAAGTATAGGCATTGCATTTGAAAAACAAAAGTTGCATCGATTTCCCGTTAAACCAGAACTGATACCAGAAACTCACTATGCCATCGATCATCGGCTAGCGCTAGACCGTAATGTCACATATATTATATATTTGTCAATTTTTTTGTATCACGCCAAATAAACCCTCTTATCTCGAACGCACTATTTACCAAATAAATATTTTTTGTTTGATTTTGCATTTGAAGTTCTTAGTTAAAGGATTTTTATGTGGTTATTTTTCGTGGTTTACGATTCATGATCAAGTAGGCCGTATCTTCGCCAATGTGGTTTTCGTCATAGCATAAGTTTGGTGCTACTGGTATTGATAAAGTAGATGACTATCTCAGCTAAATTCATTTGTCTGCACCACCGATGATTTTGTCCAAGAGAAAGAGTAATAAGAATTTTTGTGTAAACTTGACTTAGAATCGAGTTTTTCGAAACAACCATTCTTATACCATGTATCCAAGATAAAAATGACAGCACGAAAATTTCGGATACCGTCAAAGTTCCGGATTTGTAACTTTTACGGTTTCCGAGATCCCAACACTATCCATTTTCATTTGGACACATGGTGTATGTACAAACACATGTTTCTGACAAATACACATTCAGTAGGTATGTAAAAAAATTGGGTGGTACAGGGGATCAAAACAAGCACTTTTTCCAAATAAACCGAGAGTCCAAAGTGTTTCATTTGGCAGCCACTCTCATAAAAGTGGCGAAAGTTGCATTTCTTCTTTAATTTTTTTCTCAGCAACCATGATCTATGAGGTATGCCCTTTCCGATTTTGCAAAATTTCCACCACGAATGGGCGCGCCTCTAAATGGGGGTTAATTTGTTGTTATTTGGGACATTTTCAACTAACTACATGTGAAATTAGATGAATCACTAGTAGGCGGGGGATTCTTTCTGATCCGAAGGACCCATTTTCAAATGGGTATAACTTTTGTTTGAAAAATGATTTTAAAAAACTGTTCCTTAACTCACCAAGTCTTTACGTAACAAATTTTTTTTGAAGATTTTCAAAAACTAATTTCAAATTCGTGATTTTCATTTAGGGGTGCGCCTTTTAGTGGTAGGAATTTTGAGAAATTTTTACAAAATCGGAAAGTGCATATCCCAAAATCGGCCGCCAGTGGCGCCAGTCTTTGTAACTCTTATGGTTGCTGAAAGAAAAAGTGCTTGTTCTGATCCCCTAATCCGTCCAATTTTTCAATCTTTGAAGAATTTTTGTGAGTGATCGCCGAAAGGCTTGTAAAAGTTTCCAGAGCTGCTGCAATTTTTCAAAGTAGCAAAAATGTCAAATGTGCAGATTTAAATTTTAGGGTCACTTTCATTGACATTCTGTATGCCCTCGTGTATGCCTTTATGTGGCAGTTTTTGAGTTATTGACGTAAATAACAAACAGATCAAAAACAACACAAACATAACATAAAAAAATAACACTGTTTCACATTTGATTCAATGGACATAATAAAACGATTCCTTCCAAAGCCTACTACACCTATAATGACAATTTCTTTCAAAAAATGCCAATAACTCAAAAACTACAGCATGTTAATAAAAATGGGCCTAAAATTTAAATCTACATTTTCTGGTATTAGAAATAGTAGTTGCAATTTGGAAAACTGGCGTTTTTGACATTTTTTGATTGCTAATTGAAAAATCGCAGCAGTCCCTTTTCAAGACTTTCGGCGGTCACTCAAAAAATTCCATAGACTTTAAGGATTCGTTTATACAAAGCACTAACTTCCCACGTAAAGATATGAATTTTTGAATGGACCCTTGCATCTTCAAATTTTTGGAGAAAAATTGACATATGTCAAAATTATGACAGGTACTTAAATCTTAATTGAGTTTAGAATAAAATAGCGCATTTAGAAAAAAATAAAAAATTATTTTAATTCAACTCGTAATGGTCGATTATGGTCTAAACCAAATTTCAAGTTTCTATTTCGCCTGCAAGTTAAAAAACTAACGAACGGGGTACGTGCGTCACTAAGTATAGTTCAAGTCATTTTCTTGCAAATAAATAAATCAAAATACCCTTGGATACGTAGCTTTCATTTTCAGGGAGTCTATGTGATGGTTTTGTCCGTCGGTCTGTTTCCCGTCTAACTCGAGAACGAAGAGAGACAGAGCCGATGTCAAACCTTCGCTTATCAATTTCTACGAGTTCAAGGATCGTGCTATTGATATGGGCCTGATTAAAAGTTATGTTTCCGAATGCGAGCTGTCAAAAATTGCCCTACTGAATTCCTATCTTGTTTTATATTTCCACGTTCTGCTTCAATCTCATTTAAGATATGGAATCACTCAATTACCGCTGTCCATTTATTATGTTCATACTAAAACAAGATACATACGAAGAATTGCATGCGATTTTCAGTAGGGGAATGTTTTGACACTCAGCTTACATTGGGAAACACGACTTTTAATCCGGCTCATATTTAATAGCACTAATCCTCGCAGAAATCGATCGGAGAAGGTTTGACATCGCTGCCTCTTTACGTTCTCGGATTACACGAGGAAGGAGGAACAGACGGACAAACGAACCGACAAAACCATCACATGAAAGGAATTTCTTTCCTAAAACACTAAACCTACTACTACACATACACTAACCTGAAAGCGTTTTTGCACAGTAATTGGCAGTAGATTCAAAGCAAGACGTTAGCAACAGTGGAACAGAAATCATTTACAAGGCAACTCGGACAGCCAAATGTTGTAACAGTTCTGACTTAAGGTGTTCTTCATTTTAACTGTTTGTTGTTTTGATGGACAGCTACTCGTTTGAAATAAATCAAGCTTCAATTTATTCAAATGGCGAACCAAGCAAAACTATACAGCGTTCGCATCTCCAGATGCAGTATGGGGTTTTATGGACTAAATTATCTGTTAGTAATTTGCGTCATACTTCGATAACGCATCCTTATTTCTCACCGCAATGATGCCAAACTGACATATGATTGAATTAAAGTAACTAAAATACAACATAGGCGCTTATTCTCCAACGCGTAACGATGTTACAGAGCGGTTATCGGTTGGCAACGACTTTCTCTGTTCAGTATTACTGCATATAGATGCCGTTCAAAATCATATCGTTACCATTACGATATCGTTTATTAACGACAATATACAGAATAGACCCCATAATCTGCTTGTGCTATCATTGTTACGTTTAGTAATAAGTTTGGCAAGCATACTATATGTTCATAAGCACCATACTGCACCTACAGGTGCGAACGCGCTGTAGATATCAATTGCATCGAGCATTTTTGTTATAAACATTCTCGGCTGTCCTCATTTTAAATTTTCTGTTCAAAAAAATGGCAACCCAGGTCCTTTAATTTGGTTCCAAAGATTGAAGAGTGCAAGAGAAGACCATACAGATGGAAAACCTGATTAACATTTTTAGACCTTTTAGTTTTTGTCTAAAAATGTCCGAAAGACTTTTGAGGAAAGATCTCCGTAACGATAATTTCATAATTCTTTTAGCATCTGGACGAAGATTTCGATGGAACTCTTCAGATTCAGGTTAGGCACCTTTTCTGAGATTTTTACAACATTAGTAAAAAGAAGACAGAATACCTCACGGGACGGGCAAACGAGCAGACATAATGACGCAATTTTACTTTTGTACAATGAGCACAAAATACACTGTAATCTAAAGCTTGGTTAATACAGGATGGCCCAACGAAACTAAACTTAAAAATGAATTCTCGAAAAAAAAAACTGATCATATACCTAATTTTCACTAATTACCAATCTCTTAGCCGAATGGCTGCAGACGGTAGCAATGAAGTGTCGAGCGAACAGTCGATTATGAAACTAGTTATTCCACTAACGTCAGTCAAAATACGCCCACTGTCTTAGTGTTCAATTTCAAAAGAAAAGTCCATTACCTCCCAACGCAAGAGTTCCCTCTTCATTCATATCAACCCCGCGAAATTAAAAAATCATTTTAATTGCCACAATTTTGAAGTGCATCTAAATTAAGCTTTGGTAAATATGCCAAGTATCATGTAGGTCACCACCTGTTCACAAAGTGAAAGAATCGATAGAGTGTACGTTTTGGCAGCAAACCTTAAAATTGTCGCGCGGTGATACCCTATTTTTATAAAATCGGAACAAGCAACAAAAAGTGATCTGTTCCAAAACGAGAAATTCGTGTTTTTTCAGACGTCTAACTAAATCCAAAGCATTAGGGTGATAGAAAATTCAATTTCAGCAGCGAGGAATTCAAATAAAGGAACGGCACTTTCGCATCTTCTCCACATACCCGATTTAACAGAAAGGCAATAAAGTTGAAGAGTTAGTAGTTGACGTAAATAGATTTTTGCCTCCGCCGAAAGCAAAATGGCCGCTGATGCATGCATTATTATGTAGTGATATTTTTAGATTTCAATTACAAAAGTGCAACCGAACCTACCTTAGAATCGATACCAATTGTTTTGCTGCATTTTTCGCAACTGTTCGCGAACACGGTTTCGTAGCATTGGACGCAGTAAGGGTGCTCGTCTCGAAGAACGTACCGTTGTCCGGTTAGGCTTTCGTCGCATTGCCAACAGCAGAAGTGTTGTCCATGCCAATCTTTATTCATAGCCTTCGTGTACTCGCCACTAAAAATAAGCTGAAAGAAAAACGGACGTAATTAGACATAATTTTAACTCTAAAAATAAGCTCGGAGATGAAATGAGCTCTATTACATCAAAATCAACGAACACTTTGGATGTTTAGGGACACAATTTAATTAATATAATTTGGACGAACTCCCAACTCCAACATTTTGCACATCACTACATAAAGCCCAAAAACACATAGTAAACACTTAAAAACTGTACCTTATTAGTCGGGGTACGCGTGGTAGAAATTCGAAAAAGGGCGCATTTTCGAATCATCACCACACGTACCCCCTATTTTCCACCCCATTGGTGGTACGTTCAATTTCTGTAATGGTAACATCGCCGCGGTCGTTACTTTCGCGTCGTTTCGTTGTGGTCTTTTTAACTTTGCGAGTCTTCTTCTCGGTGATGGTGTAGTTGCTTTGCAGATCCACGTCTCCCATTTTGACACACAAACTGTTCAAACTCTGGGCGAAGACTGAATTGTGCCAGATGGGTAAAAGAGCAAAGCATACCGGTGGTATTTTTAGAAAATGATATGGAACGTAGTGCCGCGTGCAATATATTCGAGAAATTTTGAGGTGGGTCTTGACGATATCGATGAAAATATATCAATTTTCGCATCATGTGTGTTCAATTACGAACGAGTTTAGAGCTCTATTTTTGAAAAAATACGAGGGAATTATCGTCAAATTACGCGCTCGAGTATTATAAAAAATGGCGAATTTGGTTTCATGAATGCAAAACGGATGAATTGACGCATTTGATTAATATCTATGTATGATAGAGCCACAAAATGTGGGACGAATGCCAAGGATCTCATTTGCCGGGCAATAAAAGTTCAAAAATGTATTCGCTCAGTTGTAACCGAAATTTGAAAATGATTCACTTTATGAGATTTTTTGGTTGTAGTCTTGTAGAGATTACGCAAGCTCTTTCGTAATTTATATAAGGAGACAATTCAAAATTAGAAAAATGGATCGTTACTTGGCACCAATTTTTATAGCAAAATTAAATGTCATTTATGTTTTGTTTTCATAGTTGCATCTTCTAGAATGATTTCGTGTCCTAAAGCGCCATTTTCATCAGGTTGTAACTACAGGTAGTGGGTTGGTACGATTCAACCCCCAGCCAAAGAACCAGTCAGACGCGTACTTGGTACAAGCATTTGCTAACCGTATAGATTTCAAAACAATTACTAAGTATGAATTAAAAAAAGCAGATCGATGTCAAACATCGCGAAAAATCTCTTAATTTTTTGTAACTGTAGTATTACACACATCCCAATTAACAAGTGTTGACATGTTGCCAATTTTACAGATATTAGCAGGAAGGTCATAACCGGCAATCGGTCTGTCAATTTAGAACATAGTTGATGTTTCGTATCTCAAACGAACAGTAATTTTAACCGAAACAATTTTAACGAGGTACCGCCATAGTTAAGGAACTATTTAGCGAATTTATCGCAAATTTAAATCAAATCATAAATAATGTTCTTTATACGAAAAACTAAAAAAATACCACGACAGTGTCTTATTTTCATCATTCAATTTTTGACTTTTCTCCCAAAAAAAGTGTTTGTTCTCCGGAAATTTGGGGCCCACTTTCTCTCTTGTCCAAACCATACACTATTGCGTAATGTATCGATAGTATACAAGGAAATCCGTTAATACTTCTTAGAGAATGGCAATAGATAATTTTGAAAAAATGTATACCTTTTTTGTAGTACGAATATGAAATTGATATCCGTGTTGTGAACATCAATGGAAGAAACGTAGTAAATCATTTATATTTAAGTTGCTTTAACTAAGGCACATCTGGTCAAGTTTGCGATAACGCAAAAGTGAATTAAATTCAAGGAAATGCACATCTGATAGTTTTGAAGCTGTGATTATTAAAGCTATTGGTGATTGGCGAGGTTTCTGAAATTTTATTAAAGAAGGTGTAGTGAGAGTGGTGGTTCTTTAAAACACTGGAATCAACGTAAAAACGGGGCTCCCGGTGTCGCGACGCTTGAAGAGCGTGTACATTTTTTACGCTACATTTTCGGGCAGTCGGCACTATTTGTTTATGCGTCATTTTTGTAATAAATTTGTGCAGACGCAAATTGTGTGAGAAGTTTAACGCGTGTTGTCCGATTTCAGAAAAAGTTTCGTTGAAATAAAAGTCTAGCAGTTGTAGTCCCCAGTGAGGCCTTTCGTTAAGGTTCTTTTCTTATTAAAACTTAAAAGTTTTCTACCGTCCGAACAGCTCCCGAAAATTTGTCATCTTACTCATAACGCCAGTTTTGTTTGTCATATAATTCTGTCTTATAAAGAAAAGTGAAGTTCAGGAACTGTCCACATTTGTGTGCGCCTAGTATCGCAAATCTTTTACGACCAGATTATTTGAATTATTAGAACAAAGGACCAATGATCAGGACTAACGATCCGTCTTGTCCATTGTTTTAAGTTGTATCGTCACACGCTCGCGTATTATCAGTTGCGGTATCGATATAGTGTTGTCACTGATCATCGATCCTTTCGGAAACGGATCTTAAGAAAAAAAATCTAAGTAATTTAAGGATTTCTTATTCTAATTGTCGCCCGCCTGCGTGTGGGGTAATATGTCTAAACAAACTTCGTAAGCTTTTCTTTCTTTCATGTGTTTCGGAATTAATTTTTGTTCTTGTCAACCAATAATTGTATGTTTACTCGCATACAAAGTGATACCCAGTTTTTATTTGATTCCTAGGGTGGGATTTAAGCTACAAATTAACGATTTGATAATATGTCCGGCTACGTTAACAATTCGCCTTTTTGAAGGTAGGCATTAATTAATTACGCGTACGACGCAGTGATTCACGGCAACAGAGGTCGAACAGATGAAGGAAATGATGGGAAAGATGCAAAGGTATTGGGGAAAAAAAGGAATGGAGGTAAATGTAGAAAAGTGGAAGATGATGAGATTTGGGAAGGAGGCTGGAAGGAAAGCACAATGGAAATAAAGGGAGGAAAGCATAGAAAAGTTAAAAAAAATTAAATATTGAGAGTACCAAATGCAAAGAAACAATAGCGCAGATAAGAGACTTTAGGAGAAAGGGCGTGGTGGCGATGAGACAGGTGTGGAGAATTGGCGAAAGGGATGCAGAAAGAAAGCGAATTAGTGAAAGAATGCTTAACAACGAGCATGAACGTAAAAGGAACGTGGGAGGAATAAAGAGAAAAATGTTATGTAAGATGGGTACGGACGCGCCGACGCGACGTCGAAAAGAGTAGAAGAAAGGATGAAAAATGAGCTGGCAAAAAGGGATTTGGATGCACAAATATAACAAAAGAGGGTGAAGAGAGAGAAAGTGCACGAGGAGTAGTAGTAAAGATCTAATACACGTGTCAAAAATTTAATAAACAATCCACCTCGTTTTGAAACGTCAAGTTCTCGCGAATTTTCCGAAAATCTTACAAATAGAAATGATTTTCCACTAAGATTGCAATTTTACGGTAGTTTGAAGCCTTTGGTATTCCATGTATTTTGTATAAAATCATTCAATCATCAAAGTCTCTTTTGGACCGTAAAACATAAAATTCTGTTTTTTTCCTGTTCCCGTTTCCGTGGGAATTCGGAAAGTGTTTTCCTAACTCAGAAACTTTCGCGGACCTACGCCCAACCATTCCCCAAAATTTCATCGCAGCCGGATGGACGGTTTAGATAGGGATAGGAGACAGACAGACCTCAAAACATTCATTTTTGTTTATATAGATAATAGCAGACCCGATGAACATTGTATCGCCTATCTCGGCGAACCTCGTATGTAGGGGCAGATCGATATTGTCTAACATTTCCATATAATGCGATTTACAGTGTGCACATTTTAAATCCTTCGAGGTTTTGTGAATTAAGAGATGCCGTTTCAGGACACGGTGGTGATGTGTTGCAAAATCACACTGTGCACATTTCAAATACTTGAAAGTATTGTGATTTAACACATGCCTACATAATTTTCTGCTACCGTCACATATGAAGTCTACAACGGGTTATGCGCAGATGAGTAATTTAGTTTGCAGAGAAGCTAACTACCTTCGTGGGGCACTAATAGAATATGGGGGTGGGGGTGCGTGATCTTCTTACGCGTCGGGTACAGTAGTACGTTGCATAACGATAACCACATTTCCTTTTGTATTTCTTCGTTATTTTAATCGTTACTCTGCTATTCGGGTCGGAGACGAATCCAACAAATCAACCCAAAATTTGATTGAGGAAGCAGGTACATGGATTGAGGAGAAAAATAAAATTGGTTCTGTTGGAAAAAATAGATTGGGTATGCCCAGAGCCAACTTTCTTGTTCAGTTTCGAAAGAACGGGGGTAGGCACAATGGACCTCTGGTCTCGTGTACCTAAGTGCTGCCCGGTTGGGCTCCCCTGCGAATAGAATAGAAGGGAAAGTGCTTCCTAAAAAATAAATTAATATAAAGGTGCAATGAAGTTATTAGGCATCCACAGACTTAAATTGTTTATTTGTGACATGTTTGTGACCAAATTCTCCTGAAATTTTAGCAATTTACTCTTATAAAAGCAAATTAAAATCAGGTGTCAGTAGCTAATGTTTTCGGACAAAGACTGTTGATGTGGAAATGCGCTTTTTGTAAATCGTTTACGATACTTTTTTTAACTTGTTTATTATTTTGGCGACATACTGAAAACAGGTGACGTGTAAGTATTAGAATTGTTCCGTTTTACTAGAATTTTTCTACATGCGAAATGACACAATACGGAAACCCAAAGGAGATGCTACAAAAAGTAATCCTTGGATCTAAAAAATATTCTGGAAAACTGCTGAGCGAAATGTAGGTTTGTTTAATTACATACAATTTATTTTAAATTTCAAGGTTTAGTGTAAGCATACAATCTTGGCTGTGAAAACAATCGCGTTAAACAATCAAATTTAATTTAAACACACACGCGTCAGCAAAAATAAATTATGCATTGGATATGATCGTTTTGCGACATTTGTCACGGACGTACATATACAAAGATGTCGATCAATGACAATGTTCTTTATGCAGGGAAAAATTAGGATAAACTGTATCCCAAATGCACAACGTACAAATAACAAATTATGCCATCATTTTACCTTTTATTTGGAATAAACTACCGAATGTTTGTTTATCTTAGCTGCCTGTAATACAGACAATCCAATTTCGATTGAGCTGGCAAGTTGTTCCAATTCACCGTTGATCTTTAACGATTACTGTAAATAACGTTTATAAATAGGATATTGTATTTACCTATAATGTCTAGGTCTGGAAACTGCACGTGATCCCGTAATTATGGATAAACAGTAATCAAAAGTAAGTATAAAGCAACAAAAGCCATGAAACGTAATATTCAGTATAGCATGAATATGTTTTGTCAGTCAGTAAGTTAGTAGGGCGGAAGGACAATATTCAGTTTTTTTAATAGGTTCATTGTATATAATACAAAACTTTATTTTATAGCAGAAATCCATCATTATGAAACTTTTGACACTCCTGATTCCTGAATTCAATTAAACGTCAAAAATAGCAATTTTATTTCGTGCTCCGTGTACCATTATTATTAAAATGACATGTCATTATTAGAATGCACAACCGTTTGTTTCGCTTTATCAACCCTTTCCGTTAAAGTTACCACTTTGTCTACTCTAGACTAAGCCTACTCATTTAAAATTTATGCCACGTGCGAGATAAGCAACGCAGGTGGTTATCAGTTCGGGCGCCGGTCATGGAATTTGGAGTACCGTCGGGAATAACGATGTTGAAAGTAGATTGGAAAGTAAACGATGGTTTATCGGGTTTTTTTAAAGAAAGCGTCACGCTATTTTGTACCGGTAGTCTAGCCGGTGGGAGATGAATAAATATTTTTTTTTATTTTTTCGCTCATGCCCCGAAAGCGGCGAGTTATATTAACATTTTCACTACATGGAAGCTGATTTTCCACAAATTTTACCAATTCTGAAATGTTTCTTCGCCTTTATTTAGTTAGTTACACATTCCTTTATGTCCTCTAAACCTTTGTTTGTAAAAAAAAGTCCTCAATAAAGAGAATTAAATTTCTTTTGAAGAAATAGGATTTATTTTTAACTGTACAGAAGTTTTTGTTGGTCAAATTTCCTCACTTTATATTTGTTCATAATTTTGGGGCTGTAACGCATCATGGATTTCCAAATTCGTGTTGCTAGTTGCAAACATTCACAAAATACAGAATCGAATGCAATGTGATACTAAGTAATGTTTAGAGAACGGAATGTCGGAGAAGGGTACTCGCAAAGCGCCATTGCAACGTCTGGGCGACACGTACGAGTGTGCTTTGGTTAATGTTTAAGTTTGAAGGGTGAAGTGTCAGAAAAGAGTACTCAGAAAGAGAAAGTAGGAAATCTAAACGAAAATTGGTGGCTAGTGAGAATATACGAAGCGCGGAATATTGTTTTGGTTTCAAGCCACATTGTTCGAGCCTCGGTTAGAGCGCTTGTAGCGTAGTGTTTTTCGCCAGTTTTGGGGGGAAAGATTTTGTTAACAAAAGAGGCTAAGAGAAATCGCTGAAAATTATTTTCAAGTTTCTAGGTTTGCCACTAGAGGGCGTACGATTCATGGTTAAGTAGAAAATGATTTTTTCCTAAAATATACCCAACAAACATGCATAAAAAATACATGCATCGTAATCTTGTATGAATTTTGGATCATTTTGATGGAGCACATTCCGCTAACTCATAAAATATGTGAGGTGGGGAAAGAGAACATCTCTTTACGGAGTTGAATGTAACTTCGGTTTAGGTTAACCGATTTCACATAAGTGGAAAGAGCTTCGTGTAATCAAATTTTACAAAGTCGAGTCTGTTTAGTAAACGTGATGAGTGGTAGAGGCCGCGGATTGATATTAATATAAACTTTGCAGGTTTTCTTGAAAATTCAAAATTCCCCATAAAAATATAATCAAATAAAATGAAAAAGTGATCAGTGTAAACCGCATTTTGATATCTGTTTCCTAAGCATAGATGGCGAAAATACGCCCATTCACAAATTTAAATTTCCATACTTATATTCACCCCAGTTGGCTTTGAAACAAATGAACATATAACAAGATATAATAAAAATAGTAATTAAAAATAACTGGACTTTCTGTCCGTCCGCCCGTCGGTCCGTCTATGGACAGGATATCTTCCGAACGGTTTCGAATTTTCCAATCCTGTTTTCAGTCAAAATACTGTATTTTGTTTATCATTACTTAAGGAACAACTGATTAAATGTTCAGTGACCCAGGAGCTCGTTTGCTATGTTTGTTACAGGTTTATTAACGAGCGACAAAAAGCGAGTTTATGACTTTGGACTTTCGGTCCATCGGTCCGTCCGTTCGTCTGTTTTTAGCAATAGGTAGACAATGATTAACCGACTAATTGATTAAATTTTGATCAATATTCGTCAACCGGAAGTGACTTTGTCGCTCGTTGTCTATATTGGTACAGTTTATTTTTAGTACAGTGGTGTATCCGAGGGTGTATCCATCAACAGTAGAAGAGAAACTCTCCCCTCCTTATCGGTGCATCCCTGCCCCCACCCTTCATATTTAATGAGCTAGATCAATATGTGTAGTATCAAAATAATGCAAAATTCGTACAAGATTTCGATACATGTATTTTTATGGAAATTTGTGGATATATTTCATGAGAAAAGATCATCTTTTTTTACTTAACCATGAATCGTATGCCATCTAGCGGTAAACCTAGAAACTTGAAAATATTTTCCAGCGATTTCTCTTGGCCTATTCTGTCAACAAAATGTTTTTCCCCAAACTATGCAATTAACGGTTCCATAGATATGGCCTGTGATCTTTATTAATAGAACACCCTGAATATCGTAGCTACCTAATCCAGCTGAGCAGTTTGGCAACAGGCGGTAGCGGTTCTGAAGGAAACATCTCGCATCCCATTCATTAGTTTAATTCAGTATCATAATTAGAGATCAAACTAAACGAAAAGATGAAGCTAGATCACTGGTGGATTGGAATAGACCCAGATAGCTCCAGTCACCCAACTCAATTTTACATACCATACCACTAAGTAAATACTAGAGAACGCCATATACTATAGCACTCTCTGTGATTTACCAAATGAAAACGTAATCTTACATAACTTTTTATCCATACTCGTATTTTTGAAATAAAAAGCAATATTTACTGCAGATGCAGCATTCATTTGTTTGGGGATGAAGCCCAAAAATGTATCTGTTTTCAAAATAAGCGTCGTTATAAGAATTATTTTTAGTGTAACACAACGAAGTTAAGGTAACGCTTATGTGCTCGATTTTCCATCATGTCTGTCTCTTCCGTCGAGATCTCGCCCCTGGGCCACCTGGAGACTTCGGGTTTTCGCTAATTAATAGTTGCTATGATGTATATTTGCCCGTTAGTCATCATTTACAGTTATGTTACGCGGCAACAACCACGAGTGGGTTTTGAAACATTTTTTCAATAAGAATTTAGACCCTCTTTATCAGTTCTCACCCTTCTAGGTTTTTTCCACCACTACCCCCTTCAGGTGGTTTAAAAGACTAAGAGCTTTGGGCAACGCCTACTGTACTAGAATAAGAAAAGATAGTGTCCCAAATTCTTTTCGATCTAATGTAAGAATTTCAAGGACTACAAAGTCCATCAATCACTGTTTAAACCTTGTCACATTGAACAGAAGTCATCTAAAATATGTTGGAAATTTGTAGCTAATATCGTTACACAATAAACTTCTTTTTTTCGGCATTACAACAAACGAGAGAGGAGTGGTTCTAAAAATACTATCGCGTAAACCCACAAATCACGTAAGATCTGTTACACGGTCCACATCAATCAACTTCTAATCGGCAAGTCCAAATTAATGAAAAATAGAACTAAAAAAAATTAGAATCAATTTGAGATTGGCAACTTGCCTCGCTATTTTAAGTGTGATTATATTATTTCAATACAGTAGGTAGGTATATAGTGACGCTAGTTACCCAAAATGCGTTAGAAGCGGAGTTCCTCTCCTTGTCACAATGCTGATCGACCGGCTCAAATTGTTCATTTGCGTAGGGCAACGAATTATTGTCGACGTTTTCTGGAGCATCTGTTTCGAAATCGGAACTTGACACTTCGGCGGTTTTTGGACGTAATTCAAAAGAGTGCTCGCGACTTCTGTACTTTTTCTTGCGAAACGAACGTTTCCTTTTATCAGTGTGCAATATCGGCCCGTTAGCACTTGATACTCCGCTGTCCTCATCTGAGCAAGTAGGAACCCGATCCGGATTCCAGGAGTCTACGTTGTCGTTCTGCCCGAAATTACGATGCGCACATTTGCGTTTCTTCACACCGTCGAGTGTCTGTAGGAAATCTGAGTCGAAATGGGGATTACTTTCGTCCTCGTCCGAAGATACGGTCTTCTTGTTGACGTCCCAAGCATCGTCCTGGAGAGTCGAAGAAGATTCTCGAGCGGAATCGTCGCTTTCTTCTACTTTGAAGAAAATGGGAGATGGAGTTCGTGACCAATTTCGATCGCCTTCTTCAAGACTGTACCCAAATTTCACCCGCCGTTTGGGTACTTTAAGCTCGTGCTTCTCAATGACATGAGAATTTTCCCAATATTCGGTACTGTTAAAAGCGCATACAGAATTTCCACGTGCGCGTTCACCAATTCTCTTGTCATTGCGAACATCGCTACACCTTATTTTTGGAAGCGAAGGAGGCTCGGTAGGGCCATATGCGTGAGCGCAGGTGCCATTCTCATTCGCACCTTCAGATTCTCTACACTTTTCCAAAATACCTAAAATTCTTCTACGTTCCGCGTGAAGCCCCTCCTCATAGCGTAGTACGAGCGGGGACAAATCGCCGGCTGGGGCAAGCGGCACCAAAGTCCTTCGAAAATTGGAGAGGATCGACAGAAACTCAACCACGCTAACGCAAATAACTAAAACCGACAAAAGTAATCCCATTCTGATCAGTTTGGTTTCGCTATCAAGTTACTTTACACGCATCCTCGTAAAAGAGACCGAAGCGCGAACGCGCCATTTCCCAAAATGGGACGTAGATCGACAAAATTGTAAATTAAAAACACGAGTTGCTGTACATCGAAACGTAAAACAAACTGATCAAACTATTGGCAATAGCATTTGCCTGGGGGTCCGGATTTAAATAAGTCGTTACTTAACGACTAATTACAGTTAATAAATAAGAGTGTTATAATTCAATTTCGAAGTCACAGAAAAATTGCTAGCAGACTTAGATTAATACCTACCCATGTACTGATGGGAGGGAGTATGCCAGCAAAAAGTGAGGTGACAGTAGAATTTTGTTAAAGTTATAGTTCATATAAGCCAAAATAGATTTAACGTTATTTCTAACGATGACATTCTTTATATTCGGAGCATATATTTTAAGAATTCACAATTCTCGTCTGCCAAAAATGCCGTAAAGAATCTTTAATGGAAGAAGCATCATTAATTTCATAACCGGAAACATTATTTCAATACAAGTTACATCACCGTAGGGCGTAGTACGAAACGAGTTCTGAAACATTTTGAATTTTCACCACCAAAGAGCAGAACGGAAGTGGCCAAAGGGCTAAGGTACTTTGGATACAACTCAAAAGAAGCCATACTGTCCGTGATATAAAACAATGACAAATGCACAACAATTAAAAAAATACGTTCAGTAGGTCAATTAAATGAATAATATTTCACCTTGGGTTTGTACCAGATTTTATGATGCACACTTAAGTAATATGTGACCATTTAACTTTAACTTTCGATAATTATATGGTTAAAGCAAGTAATTTGCTGCACACAATTTTGCGCCAATTTGCCTGCAAGTGGGCTTGGGTTATTTATTTATTAAAATTAGCAATTGTCTAAACGCTATCACCATTGATTTATTAATGAAGTGATTATGCCATACTGTCTGAGCATTTGCATAATAATTAAAAAATGTCGTATTTCAAAGGTACAAATTATTAACCTGTGTGGTAAAATGAAAATGGGCTGTAGTAGTGTGTTGTGTAGGGATGGTAATATCTGACATTTGTTTCCCTTAATGGTGCGTTGCCTATGTTTACAGTTGGCGGGCGAACTCTAAACACCCACTGCACATGTAATATATAAAGGATTTCCGAAAAGTCCTGGGGCGGAACTGCAAGTGTCTGAAATTCTCGTCAAATCTACTCAAATGGTTTAAAACTGATAACCTCAAAATCTTAAATTGCGGCACCTGTGGTTTTTCATCTTATACCTATTGTAAAAGTCACTAAACAAGAAAAATATCCCCATAAATCTTTTTTGATTACCTACCTATAAAATCGATAGGGTTTACAATTTAAAAGTGCCTTAAAAAACTCCCCACAGTTTATGAAATTTTTAAACCATCTAAATTGTAGTTTTTATGACCCTTTATTGATCAAGTAATTTTCAATTTATATAGCTCCCATGACTCTTGGGAAACCCTGTATGTATATGCACAGTGACATTCTTGTACGCCGATAATATATGAAATGAATTAAGTCGTTCGTTCCACCGTCTTTCCTCTTCTGTTGAAAAATTGTACGACGCAGATTGCATGTAGGTCAAAGCGTTTGTTATCTAATCGTTGATCGTACAATCTGATAACAACAATCAATTTAATTTGTAAATAATTTTACTTATACTGATCTTTTTATAAAAGTCATATAGAAAAAAACATTTAATCATTTCCTTACCCAATCGTTTAGCTTTTCTGTGTTGAGCTACTCAATTTCCACTGGAGATAATCTCCAAAGGTGTGCAATAGATCGAGTTCATATTTTAGAGTCCTGTTATAAGGACAATATACCATCAGATTAAGTACAAAATTTTACGGGAAAATATAAGAAAATAGGTTTATTTATTGTCCCTCTTGTTCTAGGCCCTCAACAGGCTTACGCCCAATTACTGAGTGGCCCGCATAATGCTTCTTACAAGGTGCCCCTGCAGAAGGACTTAAGTTGTTCTATACTACTCCGATATTTACCTTACGGATTAGGGAAACTACAGGAGAACCTAATTAGGAGTTGCCGGCAGAATGCTCGAAACTGATCTAACGAAATTCCCATCTCTGCCGCAAATGAAAAATTCCTACCCCAGCCCAGGTTCGAACACGCTACCTCCGGTTTTCTAGCCCAAAGCTCTACCACTGAGCTACAAAGCAGACTATCTCAAATACAACAAGTTAATAATAAAAGGAGTGGAATACAGAATTGAAGATTTGGATGAAAAATTCGAGACCGAGGTAACTGTGTATGACCAAACAAAGATAGAGGAAGAACAATAAGCAAGCGATCACCTCGAGAAGGCACTTCAAAAAGAGCAGCGTTACTAACGGGCGATCAAAAATGAATTGTTGTCGAGTCGCCTTTGGAATTCAAGATAAACAAGAATGCAAAAGGGCATACGTTATACTATCATCGCCTTTTTTGGCCGCCAGCTGACGGACTATAACTTTTAAACTAGAGATGTGGAAAATTTGAATTTGGAACATAGGAAAATGAACTTGAACGAAGAAAGGTATAGGGGTAATGAAAATGGAAGAGGGACGTACATTATTTTTACAGCGGAATCGATTCAAAAATGAGAGAAAAGGAAGGCGTGGCTTGTTATAATAAAGGCAGAGCAGGTAAAAAGGCTAAGTCAACGGGAATTCATGAACGTAAATTAAAAATAAAAATGTAGCAGACGGAAAAACTACAATTCTAATAGCTTATAGACCAAATGAGGATCAAAGTAAAAGCAAAAACGACTAATTTTGGGGAGAAATGTCAGGAACAATCGAAAGCGTTAAAGAGTAAAGGAACAAATATGGCTGTATACAGGACAATATATAGGCCAATCATTCTGTTCAGAAGTGAGAGCTGGAAATTGAACATACTATTGAAGAGCAAGAAACACCTCAGGAGTGTAAAAGGGACAGAATACGGAATGACGGTAAGATCGGAATTGGGAGTTGATGCAATTGTGCAAAACGTACAAAATCAACAGCTAAAAGATGGTTTGGACATCTGAATAGAATGAAGCAGATGACAGTAAACCGAATATGGGAACCGCAAGAACATCTGAAGAGAAGGCCTAGGAAAATTTGGATTGAGAAGAAAGAAAAAATAGGAACAACATGGGAGGAGGCAAAGAAATTATCAATTAACAACAAGGGGTGGGCAGAGATCCTAAGAAGGACCAAGAAAACATTGCATAATATGATTATTTCAGAACAGAAAGTTTGTGTATTTACCTCACTACGTAATAGTTATTTATTTGCCTATTATATGTCAATTATATCTGTCATATGTGATATATACAGCAGTCTATTACGCCCAAGGGCATAATGAGAGGGCATAATGGATTGTCATCTCATTATGCCGTCAAACGGCCTGTCAAATTGATTGACGGAGTTTTATTATGTAATAAAAAAGATGCAACTTGATTCGTATGAAGCATTTTAATGTTGGGCAAACAATAATCATGACATTTGTATATTGGAAATGCATTCTTGGAACGATGAAAAATAAAATGTTGTATGCACCTCAGGCATTACTCAATATTTAACCCTCGGGCGACTTACAATCCCTCGGGCCGGAGGCCCTCGGGCTCTGTCGCCCTCGGCATAAATATCGCCTTAATGCCCTTGATGCATAAAATATAAAATAAACAAAATTATACAGAAGGCGATCATTCCCAGCGAGATTCCCAGTCTGTTAGAATTAAAAATAGCAATCAAAAAAGTGAACACACATTAAAATAATTATGTTTCTCACAATTTAATCGCAGTGCAATGTGTATATAACTTAAATCGGATTAAGTATTGCGAATTTGTAAACAAATTTACAAAACTCCCATCCCCAAGAGATTCTGAACTGTCATAAAAATAACGAATCGATCATTAGTTTTTCAAAATTTCAAAAAAAGAACAATTGTAACAGGTTAATCATTGGTTTACAAATTGTGTATACTGCGAATTATACAAATTCATACCCTACGTTTGTTAATTATTACTCTAAGTCTAATTGTTGACTGTCTACATAAATAAATGTGATTAACGTTTGTAAAAGTCACAGACTATAATTAACCCAAAACATACTGAAAAATATAACCCAGTTTCAGGTTTTTAATCACATATTTACAAAATATATAAAGACCTCGTTAACCTTATAGAAGTATATGCCGCGACAAACATAAATTAAAATTAACAAAAGCTGCCGGCAAACGTATAAAATTGCTTTAATATGGAACTTGAATTTGTTTGGTAAACAACGTATAAACTGGAAGCAAGAGGATGTGATAGCCGTTATGTAGTAATTATTGGTTTTTAATTGAGGCCATGAAACAATTATCCTCTCTGCAACAACTTACGTCGAAATTTTCACTACCGAGTAAATAGCTCCATTTTGTCAGTGTTTGATGAAACTTGCGCTCCGAAATAATTTTAAAATACAGTACAGCAAATTTAATATTTCCACCTATACGGGATGCTACCGATGCGATGGATATAGTCTCTAATGTATCGCGAATTTACTATTTTTCATAATTTCAATTAGGAAGCTAATATTCTCTGTGTTGTTTTGTCTTGTCTTGCGAGAGTCAAGAAGTGATTTTTAGCGCATTTCCACAAAAATAAAAAAAAATGCGCTATTGTGGCCACTTTGTCCGTCCGTCCGTCCGTCCGCTAACTTTGCGACGCTACTAGTTCTTTATCTTAAGAGCTATTGTTCTACTTTTTTCGCTATTTGGTTCGTTATGGTGTCGAGTCTTGTACCAAGGAAGGAATTTTTTCTGTACCGCTTACAAAAAAAGTTATTGTAAAAAAAACAAAAAACCGTTTTTTACATGTTCCATAATTTTACACTTTTGCCGTTTATTAACGATCCTAGAGATCGTTTATAATTTTGCATTGCTATCTCTCGCCTGCCGGTTGGTCTCTCCGTCTGTTCCTTTGTCTGTCTGTCCATCTATCTGTCCGTGTGAACGATAACTTTGTTTAGAAATGTTCGATCGCTTTTACATCTCCGTTAGTTATGAACTGAATTGCATGAAATTCAATATGGGCATAGCTTTAGCCATATAATACGCAAT